GAGCACCGGGAGCGGCGAGCGGGGGCGGGAGGGGGGAAAGGAGAGGGGGGGGGGGGGGGGGGGGGGGAAAGGGGGAGGGGGAGGGGAGAGGGAGGGAGCTCTATATATGTAATATAAATTGTAATGTATTATTCTGTCATATGTAACAAATTAGAATAAAAAAATTTAAAAAAGAACCCCAGAAACTGGGTGTCTGAACCCACCATCTCCTGCCAATGTTTTCAAAGTATCTTCCTTACTTTATTTTTTTTCTTCCTTACTTTAAAAATATTTATGTATTTATGAAATAAGTGTACATCAATGCATTGGCACATTATGAGATATTTAAAAATAGAAATTCAAGCTGGGCACTGTGGAGCACAGCCTGTAATCCCAGCAATTCAGGAGACTAAGGCAGGAGAATCCTAAATTTGAGGCCAGCCTCAGCAATTTAGAACCTGTCTCAAAACAAAAAGGGCTGGCAATGCCATTTAGTGGTAAAGCACCCATGGTTCAATTCCAGTACCAAAAACAGATAATCAAAAGGATGGGATAAAAATAAAATAATTTAAATAACAGCTTTTAAAAAAAAATACCTCATAAAATTATTAATTATAATATTTTCAAGTGACAGCAATGTAACTATGCTTAATTATTTTTGAAAAGTATACTTTAGGGGCTGAGGTTGTGGCTCAGCGGTAAAGCGCTTGCCTAGCATGTGCGAAGCCCTGGGTTCGATCCTCAGCACCATATAAAAATAAGTAAATAAAATAAAGATATTGCATCCAACTACTATATATATATATATATATATTTTTTTTTTTTTTTTTTAAGAAGAGTATGCTTTAGTTGAGTGTGGTGGCACAGGCCTGTAATTCATGCTACTTGGGAAGCTGAGGCAGGAGTATGGCAAGTCCCAGGGCCAGACCAGGCAATTTAGTGAGATCTTGTCCCAAAATAAAATAAGAAAGGCTGGGGATGTAGCTCAATAGTAGTGTACTTGCCTAGCATAGGCCAGGTCCAGGGTTCAATTCCCAGCACTAGAAGGAAAAAGGAGAGAGAGAAAGTTATGCTGTAACAATTTGTGATACTGGGGCTGAGGATATAACTCAGTTGGTAGAATGCTTGCCTTGCATGCTCAAGGCCCTGGGTTCGATCCTCAGCACCAAAAAACAAAAAAAAAACAAACAATTTGTGATACAGGTATTTGACAATGGTTCTGAGTTCATTTTGATCCTTGGTTTTAAGGGTAGTTAGAACTGAAAGAGATTCATTCACACACACACACACTCTCTCTCTCTCTCTCACACACACACACACACACACACACAATATATTCACGTGGAAATGCATCATTAATGTACTCACTTGATTGTGTCTTATCCAGGAAAATTCTATCACTAAATTTACATAAAAGTTTTTTTTCCCCTTAGCTACTACTTTGCCATTCTCCCTTAAACAAACTAATGAGAAGCTATTGTCCCAAGCCTGGGACAATGCAGATTTTTAGTCAACCATTATTCCAGATGTTTCTTTAAGGGTATTTTGGATGAGTTTTATATTTAAGTCAGTGGATTTTGAGTAAAACAGATTGCTTTCCGTAATTGTGGTTGGGCCTTACCCAGTCAGTTGAAGACTTTAAGAGAAAAAGGCCCCTGAGGAAGAGGAAATTTTGCCTCCACAGTGACTTCAGACTTGAGCTGCAACATCAGATTTTTGTCACCAGCCTGTCTCCCCTGCAGATTTTGAATTTTCCCCCACCTCCACTGCATGAAACAATTCTCACTTGTTCCTAGAACTGCATGAGGCAGTTCCTTCATCCTAACTTTTTTTTTTCCTCTAGTTTTCTTTCTCTGGTGCTAACTAATACAGTAGTTATAGGAACTAAGAATACAATGAGTAACAAGAAAGAAAAGTTGCTATTTCTGTGGGATTTGTTGGTAAGCTGAAAGTGAGTCCATAATCATGTGATGTCCCTTGATCCTGGAGGCAAAGTAGCAGAAAAAGCTCACCTTGCCAGCAGTGAGGGGTGGGGAGTGAGGTGGATTCTCCCAGAGGAAGTGACATTTCAGCAAAGACCTGAAGAGGGCAAGACCAAAGGTAGCCAGTAGAGATTCCAGATGAGGGACAATAAAGGATCCAAAGTTTGGGGAATAGAAGCCAGACCCGGGAGCTGGGAGAAGTAAGGCTAAAGACTGTCTGTTGTCCACTTTTTCTATAAATAAGCTGAACTATAAGAAAGAAAGTGGCCTACAGTGAGGGAAAAATGGTCTAGGGAAACACTTGCAAGACCAGCACTGGTGCCTAAACCGGAAGTGGGGGGAGGGGCCTCTGCCTCTGCGGTTGAACTGTTGTGGCACTATAGCAGGGACCTGGAGGAGAAGTCTATTTCAGGCATTGTCATTCCCCGCCCTCATTCCCGGCCCTCGGGGCTATTTTTAAACCTCCCTGTACTCCAGATCCTTCTTCCCAAGCCCTGATCAAGAATTTCTTCATAAAAACTTTTTATTGAAATCTTGCACTTAACATTTCTTTGTTAATTCTTTGAATTCTCTCTGAGTATAGAATGTGGAATTTGAATGCACTTGTGCTGGTGGGTTCTTCTGCACCATTATTTCCATTGTTTTATGCTATATGCCCTGTCTCTTCTATTACACACTCTCTCTCTCTCTCTCTCTCTCTCTCTCTCTCTCTCTCATCCCTCACATACTGTGAGCTAGATCCTCAACCAATACCAAAGCTTACCTGAATCCATGATCTCTGCCTCAGGAACGCACTCTCTGGAGTATTTCTACTCAGCTGTGTCTGAATCACGCCCAGGCATCCCCAAGTTTACTGCCTCTGGCTTCGTGGACAACCAACTCTTTATTCACTTTGACAGCGAGGGGATGAAGGCAGATCCTTGTGTTGACTGGTTGAAGGAAAAGCCAGAATACTTTGATGATGAGACTAAGATCTTCAAGACTCGGATGAAGATTTTCCAGTTAAGTCTGAGAAATGTGCAACAGTACTACAACAGCAGCATGAATGGGAGTCAGAGCAAAGAGCTCCCTCGAGAGCTGTCAGGTATGTGCCTGGGAGAAAGCAGGACAAGCAGCCTCACCCCAGCCCCACAGGCCGGAGGCCCTCAGCAAGTATTTTGACAAGTTCTCACTTGAGAATAAAAGCTAGCCCAGTTTGGTCCCTGGGGACAAGGTCTATGGACATTCTTAGTTCAATATTCAGCAGACTCACTGGGTTGCAGATATATACCTAGTATTTATCTTTCAGTGCTGGAGGGGGACAACCAGAAAACATGACCAAGTGTTTGTCCTCAAAGCACTTACAATTACTATGGGGAAGCACCCATAGGGCTGGAAACATGTTACTGACACTATAAGGCATCCCAAAAGATGTCAAAAGCCAGTACCTCCTTAAATGCCAAATGAGAAGCAGAAAAATAGTTTAATGAAGTAGACAGACAAGACATCCAGTGGTCAGGGAGAGTTTCATGAATGAGATGGAACTTTGGATAGAACCTATGGGATGTGTATGGTTTGGGCTAGGAAGATAAATACATTTCATGCAGCCAGAAGTTAGGGCACAGCCAAGGGTGGGGTGGGATTGGGCAGAGTGCATTCAGGGAACAGAATGTAGCTTACTGGTCTCTAGTTTCTCCTGACTGCTTGGGATTATTGAAATAAGTTTGTAAAGGGCCTTTAAATCAGTGAGAGGTATAATGAAAGCTGAAGACTGAAGCTTTTTACCAGTTGATACTGGTAGGAGAATGTGTTCCACAGGGTTTGCCAGATCACTGGGACAGATACCAGCGTATTCACAACCTGGAAAGGGCTCATGACATGGAAGGGGAGAGACAATGCACAAAGTTTGGTATACTTTGTGAGTGTTGGTTTAGAAGCTTGATCCTGTGGACTGTGGACCCCAAGGGAGGGCACAATTAATCCAAGCTGGGGCAGTCTCAGAGTTATTTATATTTGACTTTGAAATTCATTATGTTTTCAGCAGAAGTTGGTGCTTGTTAATGCTAAGTTTGCCTTCTCTGGAACCTCAAGGAATTAATACTGAGCACAGAGGTGTATCCTCTGACATTAATGCTGTGTACAGTGATCCTGTTTTCAGAAAGCTGGAAATGATATGATTGGAATCTGATATGATTAGAATCTGATACAATTAACACAGAAGGAAATCTATGTGGTCATGCTCTAACCTTTCCATGTACAAAAGATAGAGAGCTATGGAGGTTGAATAATTTGTCCAATTGACAAATTCATGGCAATGCCAACTCTTTTTCAAGACATCCTGGAACCCAGCATAGACCGCTCACTGCTGCAGAGCTAATGGCAAATAAAAGAGACCAGTATCAGGGACCAAACTAAGTTGTCCAAAGTGTGAACTTCACATAAGGAGAAGCCAAGGGATCAGTTGTGGAGGGAGCAGGGACCCTGATGGGGTACATCTGCCCTTTCTGACATGCCTGTCTGGGGGATGGGTAGGCCTGCACACCCTTCAGTTCACCTATGGCTGCGAGCTGCAGGAAAACAACAGAGTCTGGGGGCATTGGCAGTATGGCTATGATGGCAGTGACTACCTGATCTTGGATTTGGACACTCTTCAATACACTGCAGTCTCTTCAATTGCTCGCCACACCAAGCAGAAGTGGGAGGACAATAGATATTTGGTAGAAAAAGACAAGAGCTATTTGGAAAAGGAATGCATCTTGTGGCTGCGGAGATATTTGAAGCTTGGAGGGAAGAGCTTGAACCGAACTGGTAATGACCTCCCTCAGCCCACCCATTCGGTTCTTTCTTCAGAGTTGATGGAAAGCTCCCCAGGACTACTTGGGCATAGGGATATAGGCTCTCTTGTGTAGGTGAGTAGGGCCACTGTACTGAAGGGGGCTTCCACACAGCAGGAGCTATGGATTTGAGCAAGTATCCTGGAAAATGCTGTCTGCCCCTTTTCTAAGTCCTCCCTGGGGCAAAACTGCTCTCATGACCTCTGGGCATGTTCCTAGGCTGGGGGGGGGGGGGGGCGGGGGGTTACACTTTTGCCCCTTTTCCACTAGAGATATGGCAGCTCTGAGCACCTATCAACATTTATCTGGAAACACTGACCAGTGGCTTGATGAGAAGATGGAGAGTCTTGACATGGCTCTTGCTCTAAAAAAGAATGTTGGGACTGAGCTCTTAGGACAGTTCCTTGGATCCCAGTTTAGCATAGTACTTAGTCCACACCTGCCTAGCTGACACCCCCTGCCTTGCCCTGGTTGGTAGCCAAACCATCATGAGTTGCATTTTCTTTGTTATTAGAGTAGCTACTACAATAAGTCTTTGCATGGGTCCTCCCTGCTTTATCCACAGAGCCTCCCTCTACACGTGTGACCTACCATCCCTTCCTTGACCAAAATAAAATCACCTTGAGGTGCTGGGCCATGGGCTTCTACCCTGCTGAGATCTCCCTGACCTGGCAGCGGGATGAGGAAGATCAGAGTCAGGACATGGAGGTAGTGGAGACCAGGCCTGCAGGGGATGGAAACTTCCAGAAATGGGCAGCCGTGGTGGTGCCTGCTGGAGAGGAGCGGAGATATACCTGCCATGTGCATCATGAGGGGCTGCCTGAGCCCCTCACCCTGAGATTCGGTAAGGAGAAGTTGAAGGTACAGGACTTGTTTATTGGGGAAAGCAGGGGGCATTCCAGAAACCTTCAGCCAAGTCAGGGCTGAAAACTGGTGGTAAGAGTTGCTCACCTTCTCTTCTCAGATCCACTTTCTCAGCCCAACGAACACACCAGTGAGAAATCTGAAGCTGTAGTCACTGTGACTTTGATTGCTATGATACCTCTGCTCATCGTGGGAATTGTGTACTGGAGAAGACGTCAAGTGATGACGAGGTCAGGCTTTCCACATACTGGTGTCCTAAGAGTGCCTCACCCCAAAGGGCTGAGTTACGACTTCTGCCGATTTTACTTCTGGGGTTAATGTAGTAACATCCTGTGGTGTAGCAGAGCCTGGGAGGGACCTCGCTGGAGGGAGCACAGGCTGAGAAGCTGCTGATGAAGAGAGATGCTAGAGACTCTTGCAGGCCCTAAGACTGTGCCCCAGTTCAGAGGCTGTCCAAGTCCCATGGCTGCCTCTGAACTCCACAGTCTTGATCTGATGGACCTCCTGCTTCTCTAGGAGGGTTCTAGGAGCAGGGATACATAAGGCCCAGAAAGTCCCACAGTGCCTGGGAAGTGAGTCTACTTCACATGGGTCAAAATTTCTCTGGTCCTTCTCCCTCAGGTGCCTAAGTTTCCTAAAGGAGATTGAGTGAGAATAGATCAGACCCCAAGGCTGAGTTGGCAGATCTGAAGGGTGTATGTAATGGGCTTGTCTGTGTACATGCATATGCATGAATATTAATAAGCAACTGTATGTATGTGGGTTTGTGTGAATGTGTGTGTATAAGCATGTATGTTTTTTTGTGCACATTTATGGACATACGTGTGTTTGTGTGTATGTGTGTGTGTTACTTTAGGACTTCCTCATACTGGTTGTTCCACCAGGTTTAAAAAAAAAAAAAAAAAACTGTTCTCCATTTTCAGGGCACCAGGATAAATGTTGGAGAGAAGAGATTCTTTGCTGTACTTAGAATAATTATGGCTCTGCTTTAATAAAACACATAATAAGGGGCAAGGAAATAGAATTGGATTAGACAAAGGGGATGAAGGGAAGGGAAGGGAGATGGGAATAGGAAAGACAGAATAAATCGTATATGCAGCTCAATTCACAATAGCCAAGCTATGGAACCAAGCTAGGTGCCCTCAACAAAGGAATGGATAAAGAAAATGTGGGAGTTTCCTGGTGTGCTTCAGGCCTGCCAAATGGGAGGGGGAGACACAGATACCGCAGCCCCAAATTCCAGCTCCAGCCTCCCACTGTTCAATTACCCAACCTGGGCAGGTAAACCCCCACCTGGTTTACATCTGGATGTAGTCAAAGGAGACAAATTAATTGAGAAACTCATTATTGGTGAGAAAAAATATTATTTATTTGGGAGAAAACTTGATTTGTGTGACTTTACCATTGACCACCAGCCTTGCTCTCAGGTTCATGCTGCATCAGTCTACCATAAGAATCTGAAGAGAGTTTTCATGGATATCAATGCAGAATGGGACAACAATGACAGATTGAGGGTCTCTGATGACTTCATGACTGTGGCATATCTGATGCCTGGGAAAGTTTCTATGCAAGGCATAGGATGCTT